TGCGTGCTGAGGTCGAGGCCGCCCGGCACGCGGTCCGGGCGGCGGGGCGGAGCGCGGCGCTGCGCGGAGGGCTGGGCCGGGCCGGGCCGGGTCCCGCCGTGGCCCGCCGCCATGGACCCGTTCCTGGTGCTGCTGCACTCGGTGTCGGCCGGCCTGTCGAGCAGCGAGCTGACCGAGCTCAAGTTCTTGTGCCAGAGCCGAGTGGGCAAGAGGAAGCTGGAGCGCGTGCAGTGCGGCCTCGACCTCTTCTCCGTGCTGCTCGAGCAGAACGAGCTGGACCGCGAGCGCACCGGGCTGCTGCGCGAGCTGCTCGCCTCCCTGCGGCGCCAGGACCTGCTGGGGCGCCTGGACAGCTTCGAGGCGGGCGCGGCGGCCGAGGTCTCGTCGGAGGAGCGAGGTGGGCGCGGGGGCCGGGGGGCCCGGAGGCGGGTAACCGGTCCTGGGGCGGGGTAGCGGGCGAAACGCCCAGTTCGCAGATGGGAGAGCCCAAATCCCAAAAGCTAACGTACTGTGTCTGGTTTGCAAAACGTGAACACATACACACCCCGATTCTTCCGAGTTAATTGGAAGTGACTCCGGTTAAGGAGACGGTGTTGCCCACCTCCTCTGGGTAGAGAGGAGTGGACAGAGAGGGGGGTCGGGAGCCAGGGGAACCTGCCCCGCTGCTTTTGGTTTCCTTCTGCCTCTGGGAATGCCCCAGCTGACCCTTTACCGCCGTGTGAGCGCCGGAAAATGGCTCTTGGGCAGGGGTTTAGTGCCCCGGACACTTCACGTACTTAATTTTCGCAGTAGCCCCAGCAGTTAGGTACTGCCGTCTGGTCCTATTCCGGTCTTACAAGCCAGAGGACAGTGCTGGGACGCGTTAAGTGACTTGCCTAAGACGCACTGCCAATACCTACCAAGGACTCCACTGAGGCGGCCTGGGGTACGCGGTTGGTATTAGAAGTCGGTTTCCAAGGACATTCAGTTGAGGAGGAGATCGTTAACCTGATACATTTAAGAAGCAGTCCCCAAAATACAGGTGATCGCATTTTAGATTTACGTGTGTCCGTGTTTGTATGTATGTTGCAGGAGAGCGCGCCAGAGGTGAGCAGGTGTGGGTGGGCGGGTTGACACGGGGTGACTCTTCGTCTTTCGAGGATGACGGTGTATAGCCTAGCGGTTGGGAGTGGACCCTGGCACGAGGCCATCAGGGTTTCACTGTCTGGCTGTGCTGTAGTCTAGCTGTATGACCTCAGGAAAATCACTGGGCTTCCCTGTGCCTCAGTTTCCTCATCTGCACCAGGAGCGCCCACCTCCCGGGGCTGGAAGAGGCGACGCACGAGCTGCCAGCATCTTGAGGGCTCGTAGCTAAAGACACACATTCGCAGGGGCCTCCGAGCAGCGTTTTGTCCCTCCTCTGCTCACCCTCCATTCCCGAAACAGCCTCTGGCCTGTAGTGGCCCCGCTTGCTCGTCTCTGAAAAGCAGTGACTTTTCAGCAGATGAGGACAGGGTAGCCAGGGACCAAAGACTGGTGGTCAGTCCGGGCAGCTTCCAAAATAAGAACTGGGTTGTCTCCGTTCCCCCGCGGCTGACATACACACGACCACAACTTGGGGCCTTGAATAGCGGGAAGCAGATTCCCTCCCAGAGGGGAGCCAGGAGTCAGAAATCCAGGTGTCAGCAGGGCCAGGCTTCCTCGGAGGTTCCAAGGTCCTTCCCCCTTCTCCAGCTTCTGGGGGCTGCGGACATTCATTCTTTGGCTTATGGCCACGTCTCTCCAGTCTCTGCCTCCGTGGGCACGTGGCTCCCTCTTCTGTGTACTTACAAGGATTCCTGTCACTGGATTTGGGGCCTACCTGGATAATCCAGGATGATCTCCCAAGATCCTCAACCGAATCACATCTGCAAAGACCCTTTTCCAAATAAATTACTGTTCACAGTTCTGGGGATTTGACGTGACCCGAGGGCCACCATTCAACCCACGACAGGCCCTCCCTCCGCTTCCCCTGTCCCGAGCAGTTAGCTCCACGACGACCCCTTCCACGACGCCCCAGCCAGCATGTCTTTGGCAGGCCGCACCTCCCGAGTAGCGGTTTGGGAGTGGGGTTGGGACAGGGTTGGAGGCCACCCTTGGGCTTTCCGGGACGTTCTTCCCCCGGCCCCTCCACTCCTGGATGCCTTCAGCCTGCACGAGAGGACCTCTTGTCTACCCAGTGCTTAGGTTAGCCCTGAGGAGCCCACTGAGAAGGTAGGGTTACCTGTCTTCTAAAGGGCTCCCCAACTCCTGGTAAATCGTTTTGTTCTTTCCACAGACCTGCGTGCAGCGTTCGACATCATATGTGACCACGTGGGGAAGGACTGGAGAAGGCTGGCCCGCCAGCTTCGAGTGTCTGACGCCATGATCGATGCCATCGAGGAGAAGTATCCCCGCAATCTGACAGAGCAGGTGAGGGAGTCGCTGAGAGTCTGGAAGAACATCCACAAGGAGGACCCGGCTGTGTCCCTCCTGGTGAGGGCGCTCAGGGCCTGCCAGCTGAACCTGGTGGCCGACCTCATCGAGGACGATCAGCAGGCCCGGAGCCTCGAGAGCGAGACCAGTCGAGGTGGCGGCACCGGCACCACGTCCCTGACGTCACGGGACTCAGATAGGCCGTCCTCGGGGGTCCCCTGGTGACCCAGCGGCTCTTCCCCGGGGGCCTGGGGGCGTCGGCACAGCCCGAACTTTGGTTCCCCCCGCCAAGCTTGACCACGTGCCTTCCGCGTGCCAGTGCCGTGAAGTCCTAGCCGTGAGCCGGCACGAGGGACCCAGCGCTCAAGGCCCAGAGTGGCGTCTCCATCAGAGCTGCCATTCACTGAGCATTTGCTCTGTGCCAGACGGGACTTGGGCGCGTACAGATGCTTTCATTCGTTCCTCGTGATCGCCCCAGAGAGGGGGAGTCTGTTGTCCCATTAAATGAGGCCCTGCGGGAGGAAGTTTGGGATCCACATCCAGCACACAGAGGGACATAAAAGTCAGCGTTACCACTGTCGTCACCATACGGGTGGGGAGACAGTGCCGAGGCCAGCGGCCGGGCGGTCGGCAGCCGTGGGAAAGCAGGGAGTTGAGCCGGGGCCATGAGGCTCCAGCGTCCACACGGGCCCACAGGGTCATTCTGTTGCTCCCAGAGCCGGCCAGAGGCTTTGAGGCCGTCAGCGTAGACCCATGTACCCGGACAGGTGGCGTGGGGAAAGCTGGTGGGCTCGTGGCCCTTGCCTGTGTCAAGGGACAGCAAGGCTTATGAGGACGGCCGGGAATAACACTGTTAAGTGCTCAGGGGTGATTGGTGCAGAGTCCGTGCTCTACAGATGTTAGTTCTTAGGAGTATTATGACTTCAGAACCATGACTATCAAAATCACTGTTCTGATAACGGATTTTAGTAAGGGAGCTGGATCCTGTAATTGTCAAGAGCGGTCTTTGTGCTTCGGAGGTAATCCTCTTAAAGCCTGCGCCTGTACAGTGAGAAGCTGCACAATACAGAGAATTTCCCTCCCTGATGATGATCTCATTTCTCATGTTTTCGAAAGTCCCGTCGGGTCAGTTTCAATACCTCTTGTGGCTTATCTGAGGCTGAACTGGGAACAGCATGGCCGCTCTTCATAACGGTTCCAGGAGCCGCCAGCAAGGGAGATTTTGCCACCTCTCGCCAGCCCCTGGCCCGCCTGTCTCTGAGAGGCACCAGAGAGTCGCGGGGCTGTCCCTCGTTCGGGCCTTCTGGCCACGGCCTTGAGAAAGCCACCCGTGATGTCCTCCCTGCCACCTTGACCTTAGGCTGGACGAGGCGGCCCGCTCGGCAGACCGCGGACACCTGGCCGGGAGCACAGGCGTTAACCGGTTCACGGGTTCGGGCGCTGCCAGGGGGCTGAGCCAGTCTGGGGCCCGTGCCACCGCGGCCTGGCCCTGCGTCGTGTGCCGGGCGTGTGCCCCACGTGCCAGCGCGCCTGCCTCTCGGAGCCTGTGTCAGAGCGGGTTCTGCGGGTAACAGACGTCGTCGTGGCCCGTAACTGTCGGCGGCTTTGCTGACGAGTAGCTTTGGGCAGCAGGTTTTCCAGAAAATGTGCCCCTACCCGTAGGACAGGCGGACTTCAGAGGTCCTCCGTCCCCTCAAAGCCGCTGAAATGTGCAAGTTCCCAGGCGCCCTAACGTCCACCCTGTGCCCACCTACGTGCCTCCCACCCCTGGAAGGAGCCCCCGACCCTCCACACCAGGTGCGCTGATAGGAGCCTTGACCTGTGATTCCCGCACGGAGAATTTTCCGCGGCTCTGCCGCCGCGTCCCGTCTCAGTCCCGCGCGTGGCGAGTCACCAGGGTGCCCCCGGCACCCCTGTGCATGTGGTGAGTGGGGAGGAGCACGGGCTCTGGAGCAGCCTCGCGGGACCTCCTCTCCAGGCCCGGATCTGAGCTCCGAGACTCGGGGAAGACGGCGGGTGAGGAGAGTCTCCGTCCTGCTCTGCGGGGCCGTGCGCGCCACCCGCTCCCCAGGACCCGCCAGCTGGGTGCCGCCGGGGCAGAGCCCTGGGGCCCGGTGACAGGGGTGAACCTGCCCGACAAGCTGCCCCCGGGAGATGGTAGCTCAAGGCCAGACGGAAGCAAGGGTCCCGCGTCGGTGGCCAGGAGGCCCCGCTGAAACCAGCGCGGGGCCGGACATCGAGGGGCCACGGCAGGGCCAGCAGCCTGCCCGCGGGTCCCCTGCCTCGCGGGACGAAGGAAGAGTGTGTGGCTTGCGGCAGAAGCACAGGGCTGGTGTGGGCGCCGTGGGCGGGGAGACCCACGGCAGACGTTTGAGAACAGTGGTTTTTTGGGTGATATTTAGACTTCCTGTATCGTCCACATTTTCTGTACTTGTGTTTTCGTCATCCACCAGGTACAGGTAACTGGTGTGCCCTGGGCCGTTAGGCGGGAGAGGCCCCAGAGAGCAGGGGAGCAGGGGGGCTTTCCAGTCTGACCCGGGTCGGGTCCCGGCCTCACCACCTTCAGAAGCGACCGCTAGATAAGTATCAGGCGCTCTTCCTCAGGCACCTTAAACGTGAGCGGTGACATTTCACCCAGAGCCCCACAGGTTTGTCGAGAGGCTCTTCCGGTCCTTGTGACCTCACCGCACTTGAGCCCGGCCTGTGGCCTCTGGTCCTGGGATGTCTTTCCACCCCCCCCACCCCCCCAACCCCCAGGTTATTAGAAACACTGCTTCGGGGTAGAAGGTCCTCTGGGTCTATGGTAACCGCTGCTGGGACAGAGCTGATTGACATCTGATCAGAACCATGACCTGTGTGACGGCGAGCGGCCACCATGTTTAGACAGGAATTTCTCACGGCAGCTTCACAAAAAAAGACGATCCGTGTTCCATTTATTTGTTGTGTGAATTTTGGGGGGGGGTGACACGTATGCCTCCAGCGAAGGTGTGCGCAAGCCACGTGGCTGACGTGGAAAGTAAGGTTAGAGCCGCATTTTGCGCCTTGGTTCTTTTTGTCCTGAGAAGGATGCGGGAAAGGCCCAAATGTATGTGCTTTTGGGGAGATTTCAGGCCGGCGAAAGGGAGTTTGGTCACGTGTTTCCTGGAACGAGGGGTCAGCCCCCTAGTCTCACGGCCCCTCAGATGTCCCCACATCACCCCCCTCCCCACCTCCCCTTCCGCCCTCGCCGCAGCCGGCCCTGCTGGGTTATGGACGTGGGTGCCCAGGGAGCTCCTTCAGTCACCCCCCTCCAGGCCCTTCCGGACTCTGGCACGGGGGCAGGGGTCAAGGCAGACCCTTGCCCATCGCACTTCCGCCTTCCTCCGTCGCGTCTCCCTCCCCCGCCGCCCCGGCCCACCCCCCCCCCCCCCCCCCCCCGCCTGAGTGGCACCTGTGAGGTCCCAGGTGCCGCCACGGTGTTTCTCTGAGGCCCCCAGATGCAGTGTCAGCTGCCTGGGGGCCACACCTTCTGTCATGCTAGCGAGCGTTCCCAGGCCCCAGGGGTGAGGTCATGGGCATCATGAGTCAGACGTTATTCTGCCCACCACACTCACTTGGCATCTGCCCCCACCTGTGCCCAGTTCTGTGCCCAGCACCGTGATCTACCCAGTTGCCCAGAGGAGCGGGCCGGGCCCCCTCCTGCCTGGGGCTCACTCCCACACCAACTCCAGCCTACCTCCCAAGCCTCTCCTTTCCACCCCTCTTCTGCCTCCCCCCATGATGCCCTACCCCTTCCCGGGAAACACCCTCCATCAGCAGCCAGAAACAAGCAGAATCATACTCCAGACCCCTGACTATTCTTAGAAATGGCAATCTCCCCGCGTATTTTTAGTTTTGTGTTTGTATTTCCATGAGAACTACTCTGAGTCACCTTGCTGACTGCTTTCTAACCACATGACTCCGTGTGCGTCGCGTTCAGAAGCCGCCAGCATGACCGGGAGCAGCACGTGTGCACGTGAAGGTGGCCGGTCACCCCACATCTGCCGAGGGACAGGCAGAACTTCCACAGGGAAAACGTGCAGTTGAGATCCACTTGCCTTGAAGGAGCCGCCCTCAGCTTCGTAAGTCACCGAGTTAAGACGCTGTGGCAAGAGTCACACATAGGTATCAACCCCGTGAATCGTCACCAAGGAACAGAGACCCATTCAGTGCAAGAATGGAGTCCTCCTTGAGCCAGAGCCACATGACCTGTGGACGAGGCTTCCGTGGCCTGGCTGGAGTGGACAACCACCGTGGGCCTTTCGAGTCACCCGAGGCGTCAGGTGCGAGGCCTCTCGATGTCCCAAACCTGCCTGCAGACACTAGGTGACCATCTTGCTTCAGCAAAACGTGTTTCACGGGGCAGAGCAGCTGGAGACACTAGAGTTCTGGACATGGAGGCTGGGGATGGTCATGCAAGATCGTGAATGTGCTCGGTGGCACTTAAAAGTGGCCGAAAGTTGGGGCGCCTGGGTGGCCCAGTCGGTTAAGCATCCGACTTCAGCCAGGTCACGATCTCACGGTCCGTGAGTTCGAGCCCCGCGTCGGGCTCTGGGCTGATGGCTCGGAGCCTGGAGCCTGTTTCCGATTCTGTGTCTCCCTCTCTCTCTGCCCCTCCCCCGTTCATGTTCTGTCTCTCTCTGTCCCAAAAATAAATAAAAAACGTTGAAAAAATTAAAAAAAAAAATGGCCGAAAGTGTAAATTTTACGTACATTCTACCATTAAAAATCACATTAAATTAACGATGCATTTAATTACAATATTAGTCCAAATTGTGTGTGTGTTGTGGGCTTCTTTCTCCCTGATTTGTAATTCTATTGGCATTTTATAGTTCATGAGCACAGAAGCGTGAGCTTCTATCTGACCTTATGTGCGTACGTATTGAGGTAACACGATTATAAATAAAACCTTGCTCGTCGCTGGGAGACTGGGTCCCTGCCCTTCCTCCCAAAGGGGTTTCTGGCTGGAGAAACCCAGCTCCAAGGGTCCCCAGGCCCCGAGGATCGAGCCCTTCTCTTCTGCAGCATCATGACGCGGGAGGGTTGCCCGGCCCTGCACAGCCCGGCCCTGAACACCCACCCTCATCCACTGTTTCCTCCACCTCCACCTGCGTCCCTAGTGGGCCTGAGGCCCTGCTCAGACACCCCGTCGGATGGCAGCCTCTCCTGCCTGCGGCCCCCGCTCCCCTGAGCGCGCAGCAGGGAGGCATTCGGGCTGTGACACCGGCTGGGGTGGATGCGGGCCGGCCGGCAGCCTTCTCTCTGGGGCCAGGCCACCCCTCTGTCCATCGCTGATGCCAGTGCCCCCAGCCAGCGTGTCCCAGGGTGACCAAGACCCAGGATTTGCCTAGTCCCATGGAGGTCCGTCCGGGGACCCGAGGAGGTGCCTCCCACGCCCTGAGTCACCGCAGGCCGCCCCAAGGGTCCCTCCCGCCAGGCGGGGTCGCAGCCACGTGCGTAAGAGCGCACACCTCGTGGCTGTGGGCTGTCCGCTCCGTTCACGCGTCCATCCATCCATGCGTCCGCCCAGTAGATCCCGAGCGAAGGGCTAACGGCTGGGGCTCGGCTGTCCGCGCGCCCTTGCAGCTGGGTGAGCCCACAGTGGCGCCCCAACTCCACCCTCCCTTCTCGCCTGAGAAGCCCCCCCCGCCCCCCAGCCCAGGGCTTCCGCAAGACTCAGAGACGCGGTGTCGTGTCCGGGAGTGACGGGCACATCGTAAAGGCCACTAAATGATATTTTCGTTGTTCCTGAGTGGCGGCACGTTTTAAAAAGACTTGCCTTTATAGCAGGTTGGCTGGGTCAGAACACTCATGAGTCACAGGTTCGATCGTGGAGGTCTTGGAGGCTCCGGCGCTGTCTGGGGAACCAGCCCCCGTGCCTCTCAGCTGGCCGCCGAGTCCTGTCAGTGGGTTCATATTAGGACAGCGGGAATGAGGACTCCTGTGTCGTCTGGCCTCGCTGGTGCTGTCTGTGCCCCAGACCATAAATCAAAGACTACAGGAAACAGAAAATGCACATAGGTCGACAAGAGTAGGAGACTCAGTCATCTGTCACCTCTCAGGGAGGCA